GAGATACAGCAGAACCACAGGATACAGCAGCAAAACACCACTAAGGATGCTGAGAAGGCCCTCAAACCTCTCAAGGCCACCAGTACTCAGGAACTCCTCACCACAGAAAAGACTCCAGCTTCCTGGGTTCAGCCTTGCTTCATGCATTCTGGTTTTGCTGTTGCTCTCTTTCATCCCCCGATCAGTTAACGGCCCCTGCATTCATTTTACACTACTCATTTGAACCTCCTGCTCCCTCAGCCTTACGCACCCAGCCCCTTCGGCTCCCCACAGGACATTCCCACCATACCAAGAGCACCGTCACTTCCCCCAGAGAGCAGAGCATGGGGGAGTCATGCCCCAATGCCCTTTTTAAGCCAAGCAACTGGTATGATTCATAACAGCAGAAATATCACAGCTGCACAAGGTGATGCTGTGCCAGGTCCCCACAGAGCTCTGCTCCAGCATGGAACATTGTGACCAGGAAACTGTGACATACAGGTCCATGGGACACATGTTCTTCGGAAGACATCTGCTCTATACATATACAGCACTGAAGAACCACTGAACCTGTGGATTAGCAGCTCTTGTCCTCTTGCCATTTGAGCACTGTTCTCTGAAGCCTCCATAATCAATTCCAGCTAACCAATGGGGTTAGGTTGGACACTGAATGAAACCATGAACAGCCTCACCACCACGAGCCGAGAGACAGAGGAGATACCTATCATCACGTCACAATTTCCACATCAAAAATAGAACACGTTTACTTTTTGAATGTGGTTTTCATCAAAGCTGTTTTAAAAGATCCATAGATGCTATCAACTAGGCTCCAGATTCCAACACGTACTGTTGATTACTTTCACAAGGCAGCTGGCACAAATGAAGTGGTCCAATATGTATGGGTATTACGTTGTTTAAAGTTTGCAACCTTGTTAACTGAGCTTGCAAAATAAACCTATGCTGCACGCTCTGTTTAAATTTCCTCTTTCAAAAAGATACATGGATGCATGGAGGCTGGGAAAGGAAGTCCTGCAAGAGCATAGTCCAGGTTTCCCAACAAACTAACAGCCAGACAGCATGCTGCTCTCTCCTTCCTGTCGGACGTATAACTTTGGTTTGTGCTCTAGAGCAACCATTTAAACAACATGAACTATAGAAACATTCTTGGTGGATGGGTTGTAGAAATGGAGATGGTATTGTTTTTAACACATAAAACAACACAGAAACTGTAGGTGTATTAAAACAGAAGGTCCTGAAGTTTGCGTAAGGGGAAGAAAACCAACCCAAATCTGGATTTAGCAGGGAAAAGCTTTATTTTAGGGCTTCTACTAGAGAATAACAAACACAAAACTATAAAAAGATCCTGCGTGAAGTCCTTTAAAGGAAAATTCAGTCTGTTTCAACTGTGGCTTTGTTTTGGGTCTTTTCTGAATAAACATTCATTTATCAGAAGTTGAGATTTGGCCAGACCATAGCAACGATGGCAGTCTGCTGTGCTGTCACACAGAATGATTATTTTTAAATCTTGCTTTGCCTTTCCAGACTTGCAGCATGGCCCTGGAGCACTCACCGGCAGTGTCCCTGAGGGGCATGAGCTGTAATCACTTAACACAGGATTGTATGGGAAATGTCACTGCAGCCATTGCCTGAAGGATGGGAGTCCCCTTCTTCCCTCGGACAATGGGCTGCTGAGATCCTGAGCTCTGTTTTTTTCTTGACAGAATCAGAGCAGTGCATGCTGCAACAAACACCTGCAAAAGGATCATTTCTTGCTGCCCCTTCCAGGTACTGCCCATGAAAAAAGCTTAAAGACACAAGCAGCACAAGTGCAGTTGAAGCAGTCGGGGTTAGCAGCCCAAGAGAGGTGGCTCCGCAATACGTGATATGGTTTCACAGCCAGCAGAGCATATTCAAAGCCCTGATCACTCAGAGCAAGAAGCTCAGTTATCCTTCCCCTCTCGGCCATTCCACATGTGTGAGCAGAGTTGGTTTAACACGAGCAGGAGCAGACGTGTTGGCCTCACACCATGCCAACACCACAGCAGCAAGAGCCTCCCAGTAGCACAAGCAGAGAAAAGCCCACAAGGAGAGAGCACCCCCTGCTCACTGCAGTTTAGCCTGGCCCTTCCAGTGGTGCTCACTGCAGTACCCACCAAAGGGGTCAGCACCTCACTGAGGAGAAAAGAAATCAAGAGGCCTTTCCCATTTTCCCTATCCCCCAAATGGCTTTAAACATGCCTGGGCTGGGAATGCACTCAGCCCTCCTGCCCTCAGGTCAGGCACTGGGTTGTCATGAGGGTAGATGGACAGGAGATGGGACAAGTGCGCTGTTGTCCCAGCATAGCCTTCCAGAGGAGCACAGCGAGAAGTGGCAGGACAGCAGCACTGCCGCTCTCTTGCACTGGGATTTAAGCCAGCAGCATTCACAGGCACACAGGCATGTGAGGGCACGGGGCTGTGTTCAGGTCCCAGATAAACCCAGACACTCAGCTCAGCTTGTGTTCAAACTGGCACCCAGCTACCCAAACCCCATTCAGCACCTTGCTGGGTCCTTGTCCAGCCTAAGCCTTGAATTTGGGGAAACATTGCATCTCCTGTCTTGAATCAGAGCAGAAAAAAAAGGACAAGTCTTTGTCCCAAGCACCACAATGCTTTTTGCATCAATTACCAAGGTGACAGGCAAACCACGTTGGCCAGAATAGAGCTGGCCTTTCCCACAGCCCCTCCCCACCGCAGGCATCAGCCAGGACTTTGAAACACTGGTTTGATCTCGCTCTTCTGGGAAACCGGAATCCACAACTTTCTGCTGTGGTCTCACCACAGCCAAGACAACTGCACCTTTGTCCGGCACAGAGAAGCCTCTCGCCAATGCAGAGGGGAGGCTGAGCCTGAGCCATGGGTCACTCACCGGTCAGGCCAGTGCAGAGGCAACAGGAGGAAAAGCTGGAGCGCTCCTGCTCCTCTAGCCTCCCCAGGGACAGCGAACTGCTTGCTGCCTCAGAGGATGGAGGAGAGCACATTGATGCTCAGCAATGAGAAGCCAGAGAGCAAAGGTTTAACACATACACTTTGTGGTTACAGTGTGCCAGCAGATACAGTCTAAAGTAAGATAACTCAGATGTGATTTCTGCCCCTCCTCTCCCTCTTTTTATGGGAGTAGGAAGAAGAAAAAAAGACAAGAAGGTTTTGATTTCATATAATTAACTGGCTTTGTGAAACTGCCTAGTTCCTATCAATTCTGTCAAACAAGGCATGTACTCCCATTCACTCCACACTGCCTGCCCCTCCCTGAGCTCAGCCCTGCTGGCTGGTGCTGCTGGGTTTTGATCCAAGGCAAGTACAGGTAAAGATTAGGGGCAGAGGACTCGAGTCACTGGTTGTAGAGGGAGCAAGTGGCCAAGTGGCTGGGCTGTCATGAGCTGCCTTCTCGCATCAACCCTGAGCTTCTGCTCCGGTGCCCCCACCCAGCTGCCCTGCTGTACATCTCTCATCTCTCTCTACAAAATACCCCTGTCCCAGATTTCCAACCTCACAGGAATTATTTGTGCTCTGCCCAATGCCACTCTGCAGGTGGGCAGTGAGTGGGGATAATGGACAAAACAGATTGTTGTCCAGCACCTGGGGTGCATGTCCCAGCCATGGGACATAGGTCCTGAGGAGATCATGGAGCCCCCAGCCAGGGAACAAGAAGGCCTAAAGGGAGAGCAGAGCAATCATCACAGCCCCGTTACAGGACCTGGCAGCAGCGCAACAGATCCGCCAAGACAAACAGAATGCATTCGCAGCTCAGCAAATCTCCTCACGTACATGCTTCTCCAGACTGGATGCATAACCCAGCTATGATGATTTAAGTCTGAGATGGACACGGCAGGAAGAGGGGCACGTCTTGAGCTGGGGCCAGGCTGATAAAGTCGCAGGCAGGGCAGGAGAGGAAGAAGGGGTGATAAGGGGTTGGGCAGCAGCAGCCACCCCACATCCCTGGATGCAGGCAGACAATAACAGCCCTCTTTACCCGCCCCTCCATCCTGGCTAGAGCTGGCCTGCCCTCTGCTTCCCTCCAACAGTTGCTCACTGCCACAAGCCAGCCAGGGTGACATGGAGAAGCCCCTGATCAACCAAGAGCTCAGGGAGCCTGGCTCTGCTGACATGCAATATTCCAGCCTAAGTAGATAGCACATCCTCACAACCCAACTACATCGCGAACAGTGTCACTGGGTCACCCCGGTCTGAGGCGAACGGGGCGGGGAGAACATTTTGGTCTTTGTTTTACGGCTGTTGCCAGGATTCACCCACAAGGTCTCCATGGATGCCTGGAAGCACACCAAAGTTTAAATAATAGAAAAAAGAAAAGCCCAACCCCTTCAAAAAGAGACAAGCCCACAACAGTTTGGAAGATGCCCTGGAGCACACAGGAATGCGCTCCCTGGGTAGCTCGGCAGAATGGGTGCAGAGGACACGAGGGAATATCTCACAGGGATGATGCCACCGTCCCAGGCGCAGAAGGAAGGAGCCGGCTTGTCCCTTGCCCCGGGACTCTGCAGCCGGCAGATTCCAGAGCCCCTCCGCCGAGCGCTGCTCCCTCCCTAACGCAGAGGCACTTTCGGGGGTGCCCTGCAGACCCCATCTCCTCCGGGTGCCTGCTGCCATCCGGCCACCCCCCGCCCGCCGCCACTCCCGGCACGTTCCGGCGCTTCCTCCGCGGGTCGCGCACAAGGGTCCGCACCGCAGCCGTGTCCCTGCCTGCCCCCAGCAGCACGGCTCTGGGGGTAGAGGCAGCGCGTTCCCCCCCCCCCCCCCCCCCGGCAGGGACACAGCGGGTGATCCCCACGGGAGACACCGGGGGTAGGAGCGGCAGACCCGGCCGCGCTGCCCTCTTCTTCCTCCTCCTCCTCCTCCCTCCCGCCAGGGCTCCGCCGGGGCAGCCGTGGGGGAGCGGGACCGGCAGCGCCCGGCCTTTGTTTGCCCAGGGCCGGGTGCGGCGGAGCCGGGCGCCCCGAGCCGAGCCGAGCCGTGCCACTCACATAGTGCTTGTTGGGGATGCGCCGCTTCTGCACGTCCAGCACCTTCACCTCCGCGATGCTCCGCCTGGGCATAGCCTCTACCCCTCGCAGCCCGGCGCCAGCGGCGAAGCGGGGAGCGGCGGCGGCGGCGGCGCTGGAGGAGGCACTGCCGCACGCAGCCGGGACCGGAGCCTGCAGCGCCGAGCCGAGCCCCGCCGAGCCGCCCGCTCCCTGCCGAGGGCGGGAGGCGGCCCCGGCCCGCCCCGGCCTATCCCGGCCGACGGGGCGGCCCTACCGCAGCTGGCTTAAAGGGGCGACCGGCACCGCCCGCCCCACGCGTGTCCGCCCCACGAGAGGAGCCGTGTTCGAGGTGGAGCGGGGAGAGCAGCTTTTCAGAGGTGCAGCCGGCTGCTTGCATCGTGGGGAGGTGGCTGGAGGGATCCCGGCTTGGCCATCCTGTCTGGCACGGTGGACCCGTGCGTGGGCTCCATCACTGGGGTTTGACTCTTCACCCTGCTCTTGCCCCATAACAACAGCCCCCAAGGTGGTGCTTATGACTTTGCCGTAAGCCGCCACAACCCTAAAGGATACAGGAAATGAATTGAGTAGGAAAAGATGGCTTTTGGGGCTGACGACCTGCCCAGGACACCTCTCCTCCCTGGCAGTCCAACCCCTCCTGGATGCCCACCTCTGCCTTTGGGGCAGCTGAGGAGACAAGGCAGTGACCAGGCACTTCTCTACATCAGCACCACCCACGGCCTCCGTCTTCCCAGCAGCTTCTCAGCACGTGGCATAACCACAGCTTTCTTCCCCGTTGGGCTTTTAATTACATTATAAAGTTTCTCAAGGCTTGCACTGGCAGGTCATTCGTTTTCATATGAATTTAATTTAATCATAAACAACTCATCTCACTCCTTAGCAGCTCCTCAAATGTGGCTCTTTCTTATACTGTTAACTTCACTACAACCACACCAGAAGAGGTACAGGCAGATTGCCAGGGCTTTATTGCATCCCCCTTGCCCTCCCAAAGGGCTCATCTTCATCCTCTTCCCAGTAAGCTAAGCCCAAGATCACAGTGCCCCTGCAGGGATGGCTGCAGGAAGGATGCTAGGTTGTCTGAAGGGGATGTCACACCACTGGTGACCTCCCTCATGCCTGCTGGCATGCTGCTGCAGGGCTGGTTTACTTGTAGACCACATTGCTTCCCTCCTGGCCCCAGCGTCATTCCTCAGTCAGACATACCATGAGGATGGGAGGGCAGGAGGCCATGGAGAGGCCCCGAAGAGCCCTCCCTTCCTTCTGCCATCAGGAAAATCCTGGCATTCCTCATGGATGCTGGGGCTGGACCTTGAAGTGCTAATCAAGAGCTGAAGCCTGGGAAAGCACCAACAAGCAATAGAATTGCATCTTTTGATGCTGTGTGGAGTGCTCAGGCTTGAGCAGATAAGAATTTTACTGGTTTTAAAAGCCCTGGAAGATGCACAAATCCTCCAAATAGTGAGGAAAACATCCAAAGTATCTGTGCATCCTGTTGATAAGAGAAGTGTATATTGAGGTGTGGAACACTGGAGGAAACGGATCAAGAGAGGAATGAAAGAATTACTGATCTTCACATGCTGAAAAGAGATACTAAGGTAGAGAGCAGCTGAGGGCACTGCAACTGAGCAGCTCGGGAAAGGATGTAACCTGAAGAGCTGAGGACTGAAAGGCCAGGCAAGGGGAGCACAGGGATAACAGGAGCAGGTAATTGGATATGTGAGTCACAGAAAGGAGCACAGAAACACGCTAAACAAGATGCAGTAGATTATAACTTGCAAGCTGAAGGGAATTCAGTGGGGCAACTGGGTTATGAACGTCATGGCTGCAGCCGTCCCTCTTGCTTCGGGCACTGGTTTATTCTAGTTGGCAGCAATTGAGGGACTGCCAGGCATCAGGGAGAGGGCAACTGTGCCTGGGACACTAGTTCACCGGCCCTGGTGAATGCAGATCTGGTCTGATATCATGTGGTAATTTGTTTTGGTAATCTGGTCAAGGAATGCACATTCTGACCCTACATCCCCCCTATGAACTGAGACTGACATAGCCAGATTGATCTTCTTGCTGCCCAGCTTGAAGCATTCCAAAGGGACACAGATAGTGCTTTGCTTGGGGAAGCTTTGTGCCCACCTCCCCTTCTCAGGGGTGCATGGAACCTTTGGGCATTCCCTTGCTGAAAAATCCATTTCCCTGTGCTACAAGGTGCCCACAAAGATATGTGACATGGAAAACAAAAGGAGGATGTATGAATGAGCTCTCATGGCATCTTGGACCTACCTGATCCAGGGACCAGACCCTTGTCTCCTGCCTTCACCCTTCCAGCTCTATTCTGTGTACTGCCCTGGATGTAGCCCCATTACTGCCACATGCTGCTGGGCTGCTGGGATATTCCTTTATAGCTGGTATAAATCACATGTATCAGACAGCCATCTTGTTACACACAGGGGGTTATTCTATCCATGTCTTCCAGCATAAATCCACTCCAGGCCCACAAATGATGGCAGAGAGCCAGATGAATGCACAAAATCAACTGGAAGCACTTAAATTTCAGCATCACTTCCTTGGCACTGTAACTTGCACAAGTGACTCCATCGCTCCTGGACCCCAACAGCAAGAGGCAGTGGCTGCAGCCTGGCAGCTTATGAGCACCCAGGAACAAGCAGGGGTTGGAGACAATCACAGCTAATGCTGCAAAATGTTGCCTGTGTTTAATTAATGAGCCTGAAAAGAGTTGTTGAGATGGGCAGAGCATGGTTTTGCACGCCGAACTGATTGCCTCCCGAGGGAGGCACATTGGGAAGCTGGCTGTGGAGATGTACAGCCTGGCTTGGGCTCTACTGCACCTTGGTCATTTATCAATGATCATTTATCAATTTTTACTTATCAAAGAAAACTGCAAAGCATTTGTTAAGGGAGCCCAAATGAAGGGTTTGAGATTGACCTGGAAGTCCCGTGCTTGGCCCTCACCTCTGATGGTGTGGCTGCAGGAGCAGCAGAGATGTGAAAGCAGTACTTCCTATGATGAGGTTAGGTGATACAAGGGTACAGGTGCAACTGAGGGCAACTTTGGGATAAAAAGCTTATCTCTGGCTATCCCTACTGAAGGCTGCAGTACTGCTAAGCCAAACAAAATAACTACGCAGGAGAGGTCACCACATACTTGAGAGTCAAGATCTCCTTGACCCATGTCCATTCTCCCTTCTCCCTATCAGGATCAGCTGATCAACTTAAAGCAAATGGGTAAATGACTTCTGAAAAGCCATGTGTCAGCTCAGACATGCAAATGGGTTTACATTTGGCTGTAAGCAGGATCCAGGTCTTTGGGCACAGCCGGGTCCCACAGTCAGCCCTGAACTGCCGAGAAAACACAATCTGCGGTCATTCTGGCAGGGAAAGTCCAATATTGCTGCTTGCTTTTTAATTTAAGAGTTATGAGTGTCTGCCAGGTGGTAAAATGTTCCCAGTCCTCCCTTGCGTACAGAACAAATGTACCCATCTTCCCCAAGCTCCCCCACAACGATTAGTCAAAAGTGATGCCCCTACCACAACAGAGGGCAAATTGTTGTAGCTGAAGCCCAGCAGAGCAGCGGCTACCCACCATGTCACCAGGACTGGATTGCACTGATTTTTAGCCACCACCAGGATTTTCCACTGCTTTGACCCCAGTATTGCAGGGTTTGGCTTTGTGGTGTGGATGCCACCCAGCAATCAGCTTGGCAGCAGATTGCACCCATCCTGCAGAGAGATATGGCAGCAGGGAGCAGAGAACAGGGAGGAGATGCCTCAAATGCAGGAGGCTGCCCTGGCCCAGATGTGCCGGTGGGTAGGAGAACCCTGGAAAACTCCTAAGGAAAATGCTGGAGCAGGAGACAAAGTACTGAAGCACCGATGAGCAGCAGAGATCAGGTGAAAGGTGTGCCACAGAGGATGATGAATCCAGGAGGAAAGCGAGCCAACATTTCAGTGCAACGGGACAGCTCAGCTCTGCGCTTGTGCAGGCAGCAGCGGGGCTCCGGAGCCCAAGGCCACTGCTTCAGTGTGCGTGCCATCTAGTGAACAAGAGAAAGAAGAGCAAACATCACCCGTCCACCCCTTGCAAGCCTGTAAACCAGGCCCAGGGGAGTCCCAGTGAGTGCTTGTGAGGGCAGGTCGGGTGACAAGGACACATGTCCTTGCTACCCAGCCCCATCCCACCCAGGAGAGCAGCAACAAACAACCCCATCAGCAGGGCAGAGCCCCCAGCCTCTGGAGAGGCTCGGCTTGCTCAAGCCCTGGGTAGGCTGGCACTTGAAGAATTAAACCAGCGGCCAGTGCAGCAGAACACACACACAACAGGATTTGTATTAACAGGGTGCAGATGACTTCTGGGGGTCATGCCCATGGCAATGCTCACCTCCAGCTGTCCTGCACTGAGGGAGAGCAGATGCAGCCATAAGAGGAAGGCAGTTAAGTACAAGACCCAACTCCATGACTCTCCCTGCTTTTTCTCCCGCCAGTTTCACATTCTCCTCTCACAGGAAGGTTGAAAAAGCCTTTGGGCAACCCAGAGGAGCTTGGCACCCAAATGTCACAGGGCACACAGCACAGAGGAGGTAATGAGGAGAGCCGAGCGTGCTACAGCTGCTGCAGCACCAGTGATGCTTCAGGGATGTCACCTCCAGTTTTAAAAATTACGACTGATTTTTACCCTTGCTCCATTTCCAGCATTGCACCGTTGCAGAATGGTAGATAATTATTCTGGAATAGGCAGTATTTTCAACATATATTTATAAATAGAAATATTCTCATGGTTGAAGCTCCCCTCAGGCACTGCCAAAACATGCAGGTGAAGTTAAATACTCCCATGAGATCCTCTGCTTTACTAAGATACATTGACAGAGGCCATTTGTGACCAGTGCATCCCAGGAGACAGTGCAGTCCTGATACCTGTAAATGAAGGAGATGACTAATTGTGTGTCTTCACCTTACTTCAATTCTTACTATCTCATGGAGCAAGGAGACAGCATCCTTATGCTTTGCTCTTGTCTTTCTCCCACCATCGTGCTGCCCATTTCAAACCCCACCAGCAACAACTTGCCATACCAACTCCCTCTCCTTTCAGCACCTCATGTCTGAACTCACAGCCTGCAATATTACTTAACCAGGGTGGAGACAGGTAGCAAGGTCACTTCCAGCATGAAACCCAAGGTAGAAGTTGCCAGGCTCCAAAGCATACTTCCAACAATGAGGGTAAAACCACACCAGCTCCATAGGCTCACTTCAAAGCTGCTGCATATCCTTGCTGGGTGCAGGGCATGCGGATTAAAGAAATCATAACTAAATCAGCAGGTGAAAGTTTCCAAACAGAAAACAAAGACCACGCATGGTTGGTTACAGAGCTGATGGGAGCTTTTCTGACGAACCTAAGGGAGCAAGCAGAGATTGTCTCCTGCACTCACAGGGGAAGATGAAGTTAATCTTGGCCCCATAACAAAACCCCAAATCCAAGTGCTCCTCAGCTGAGGACAGAGGGAGGCATCTCCTTATCGCACCAGAGCAAGGGAGCTGAGGCATTTGTCCGGGATCTCCTGTTAAAGCCAGGCAAGCTAATTAAAAAGGAAGGAAAAAGCCACGGGTAAGTGGTTCGCACCCTTCAGATGACAGGGTGCAATACTCCCTCTTCACCAAGCAGGGTCAGCCGAGCACTGTTTTAACACACAACGAAGTCATTGAGAGAACAACTGCTTCACCCAAGGTCTACCGGAGTTCAGGTTCACAGCAAAGATGTTATTGACACCGAACTGCAGCAGAAGTGTTTCTGAAGCAACCAGCTCCATTTTAAAGAACTGAGAGTTCAGCCTTGCACAGTTCACACGCCAGAACTGGTTCTAGAGATTTCTGTCAGTCAGCAAAACCTAGAAGCAAAGCTGGTCTGAGGCCACAGCCGGTGACCAGGCAGGAAATCAGACACATGCGCAGGTTTCTCAGTCTGTTACTTTATTAGAAGGGTCTTTACATCATAGTGGTGGCCCCACTGGAGGCACTTTAAAAAAATACTAAGAAAACCTTTTTATTCAAAGCCATATTTTTTATATGGCGTCCCATCCCCTCTCAGAAATAAGCTGGGTTTATTCACGGCTCCTTCTACAGAGGAAACAACAAAAACATCCTCTTTTTAAAGGGGGGGAAATATAACCACCCTGTAAACATGACAATCAGAAGATGTGCTCCCCTGCCTTCTTCTAGGAGAGAGACATGATGCTAGGGCCCTGGCACACCCAGTGAGGGAACAGAGAATAGGGATATGGCAGGGGACAAAACCATTCCCACCCTCTGTTAGAAAAAGCAAAACTGTAGCTAGCTCCAGGCTGCAGATAAGGGGGACTGGAGAAATGGACAACTTTCCTTATGTCTGCACAACACCCAGAGAGAGCTGATACTCCCTGGGCTGGTGAAGGCAGTGAGATCACACGAAGGACAGGCACTGGGTGCTGATTTCTGTGACAACAACCACGTCTTAGAATAGCTCCAGCCTGACCCCAGTGGGACCAGGAACAAAACCACTGAGGCTGCTATAACACATTCCTAATGCAACTAAAAGGCCTAAACCAGCACATGTCCTGGTTCGGGAACAACCCTCTGTATTTGTTAATTTTACATCAGTTCCCAACGTTACATACTGAAAAGGCACAGTCAAATGCTTCTGGAGATGGCACAGGCAGTCCTTCTAGGAGGACAGGCTAGTTCCTGAAAAGCTGCTATGCAGTGTGGTTGCAAAGGCTCCCAGACATTAGATGTCCATGTAGGCTATGCTTATTAATAGATATTAATGCTGTGGATTCAGAGGAAACTTGGAATGGCCCAAATGGATGTAGTCTTGGTAGTCTGCAAGAAGCTTATAAATACATGTTATCAACTCTAAATGGGTAGCACAGTCCCCAGATAAAGAGGTGTTAAAAGACCCGGGGACTGACTCCTTCAGCTAGGTATCTAGATAGCACATCACATACCACCTTCTCCTGAAAGGTCAGTGTGTCACTAAATCAACATATGAGGCTTGAAAACAACTTTTCTTTTTCTTTTCTTTTTTTTTTTTTTCCCCTTTTTAAAAGAAGAAACATTTTTTGCTTGCTAGGGAAGCAAACCTAAACCAAACTTGTCCAAAGATCAACGGAGAGAAAAACAAGTGCTACCATACACTTTTTGGTGGTGTAAAGAAGGTGTTGTTCCGAGAGGTCTCTGTCCCCCCACCTGGGTCTGTGCTCTGGGTTGTACCCAGCATCTCAGCCAAGCACTGCCTTGTGCAGGTGGAGGACAGCAGTCCAACAGAGACACATCACCATGGAGCAGAAAGGACAGAGGGCTGGACCTGCCGCCACTTTGCCAAGTGACTTTAAGCTGAAAGTCAGGGGAATCATCTGAGAAACTGCAGCACATCTTAAAGAGATGAGACAGCAGTGGAGAAGGCGATGCTGAGAGTAAACAAGGCACAGTAACCTGTCTTTGTACCTCCTCTTCCTTTGTACACCTTGCTTCAGGACTCATTTATTCCTTCCAAATGATGCTTTGCAGCCCGTAACCCTGACTGCAGAGTGGCCAGGCTGGCTGACCCATATGGCCCACACATAGAGAACACTTCAAGTATCTCAAGCACATGTGTGACCATGGGTTCTGGCAATAACACCCCTTGGCCCCTCACTTGTCCTTACCGAAGACACATGACTGTTGTCAATATCTCACCGTGCCACCGCAGGACTGAACACCATTACAAACCTCCGCCTCTGCACATACTCATATACTTCTTTAAGAAACAAAAGCCTGCAGCCAGCTGAACAGTTTAATTATGCCATAGTCCAGCCTCCAATAAGACAGTGTTAGCTCGATGCCAGAGGGACTATGGTGCTAGTAATTATAGCAAATGAAGAAGCAGAAGCATCTTTGGAAGGATGTCCAGATGGTCCCCATTCTGCACAGTCTGTACAGGGAGGAAGAGGAAAGAAAAACCCAAACCTCTCTCCTCAAAGGCAAAAAAATATCCACATCACTGTCTCTCTCCTGAGCAAAAAAGGGGCCACAGCAGATAGAAATAGTTCTAAGGCAAGTGTTAAGGGATCACAAGGTCAAGGTTAGCCTAAGACAATGCCAAAGCTGCACTGCCCGAGACTTGTCCTTACAGAAGAGTGGGAGGAGGAGCAGCCACAGTGAAGAGAGGCTGATAACCCCTGTGCAGAGGTCAGGAGCCATCTCCCATTTCTCCTGTTCAGAGCAGTTATTGCTTCAGCCTGAGCTGACAAGCCCAGTGAGCACCAGGCTCACGTGAGAGGTGACGCATCCAGTTAACAGTGCAAATACAGACACAGAAAGGGTCCTGCACGGCTTCTCAGCCTGGAGCTGTGCTGAGCACGCCAGCTCCTGGGAAAGCCACCAAAACTTCCAGTCAGCATTCCCAGTGCAGGACAGGCCACGTTTATCCCAGACAGAGCTAGAAGACAGGAGGGTGCTCTTGTAAGAAGAGACTGCTGAGGGGGTGGATCTTCCAAGTCCAAGTTGCCCCTCTGCAGCCCAGGAGGACACAGCAAGTGCCAGCCGGTGGCCTGCCAGCTGCAGGGTGTTACAAGCTCTCTGCAGAGCTGAATGGGACGAACTTGGCATGTTTAGTTGGGGATGCTGGCGTCTGTCCATTCGCCTCCTCACTCAGCTTGAAGAACATCTCCTGCTCACGCTTCTTCTGGTTCAGCTCATCCTCCAGGGCCTTAAGCAGAAGGGAACACACATAAGAGCAGTATTTGAGATTGCACTGGAGCTACAGACACTGTCCCCTCCAACCAGCCAAGCAGAACACCCTGCTCATGTCAAAGAGGCACTACCTTCTTCCGCGGCCTCAGCTTGTCTCGCCACTCCTTCATGTGCTGGTTGTGGTTCTCATCCAGGGATTTAAGCTTCTGGGTTTCATGCTCAATCAAGAGGTGACACTTTTCATTCTAAACACAGATTAAAAAGCAGAACACCCATTAAGCATCTAGCAGTTCTAGACTTTGAATCCTGTGGTCAAACAGGACTTGCATCAGCCAGAGGCATTCAGAGCTCTGAGCTCCAGGGCACATGTAGGCACAGCCACAAAAACCTCAAGGCAGATCAAGGGGACATCATCCAGTTCACTGACTGTCCTCTGCTGCCACTTCTTATGACCCACTCCCTGTGCTGGAGCAGAAACAGCACACAGGCAGCTCAGAGAGACCGAGCCATGATGGACAGTACCTGCAGCTGCTGGAGCTCGTTCGTGTTGCTCTCACACTGGGCCTGCATGTCCTTCATCTGTGTCTCATGCTTCTGCTGCTGGTGCAGCCGCTCGGCTTTTTGCCTCTTCTCTTCCTGCTGAGCAAACTGAAAGAGAGAAAAGCAGGTGCCCATGTAGGCAGCATTGCTCTCATCTCCAAAGCTGGATAAGAGACTGGCCAGCTTGCACTGTTACACGGGAAAGAAAGAACAACCCTAAGGATGCTCCCCAACATTGGTCGTAACAGAAGCAATGCTCAAAACCACACCTGATGCCACAAAAGGCCTCCAATTCCCTGCAGTGGGTTAGAAATTCAGGACCAGTTGCCTTTTTCTAGCTTCCCTTTGCCAGGAGGCCAGCAAAGTACTTCACCCCAAACCAAGCCTCAACTTGGTGCCCTTTCCAAGACCTGACCTGTTTAATCTTCTCCCGTTGCTCAGATGCACTCCCGCTGGAGTGGATGTGAAGGCTCTTCTTGTACATGGCCATGCGTGTCTTCCCTTCGCTCCTCTGGATTTTGGGGAGCCGGGCTTTCTCCTGCTGCTGCCGAACTTTCAGCTGCTCCAACATGCGCTGGTTGTATCGCTGCATTTGCTCCCTTTCCTGCAGTGGCAGATGGATGGGTATCAGAGGCGGCCAGCAAGAAAGTGCTGAGGACACCAAAAGGAGTTTGAGATCACATCTGGAATTGCACAGTGGTGGCTGGTGACAGACAAGAGGTAAAGGGCAGCTACTGAACATGCTATGAAAGCAGAGAAGGGGCTGGAAGGGAGCAGAAATGATCGAGATGTGCCAATCTCCACTTGCTGCTCTGAGAATCCATCATTCCACATACTGGACAGTGACAGATTTCCAGAAAAGACCCCAAATTCACAACTGCTTCTTGCACATTAAATGCATGCAGCACAGAATACGTGTCCCAGGCAAGTAGGCTGACCCGAGCATTACTCTAGTCCCTTTTCACTAATAATGACCAGGTCCCTTAACTCCTAACCCACCCTTACCCACTTACAGCCTAGAAAGGAAACATCCCTTCTGGGGACACACAGGCACCTTGCTGACCAGCACTGGCATAGGAAAGTGCTAACTCTTCACCTTCTCATGCTTCCGCAGCAATTCATGCCTCTGAAGGAAATACTGGTCCTTTAGCTGCTGCTTGATGAGCTGGTGTTTCTCCTGTTGCTGAAACTCTTCGAGATCCCAGATGCACGCCTCCCGGTCTGAGGAAGGGAAAAAGGTCAGGAACGCACCCTGGCCCCTCAGCTTAGTCACACAAAGCATCCCAAGCACAAGCAATCCCTTACACACAGGAGCAGTGCAGCAGATGTGGGGGGTGATTGTTCACCTCTTGTTTTCCAAGAGAAATTGGTGGCAAACCATACTGGAGAATCACTTCTTGCAATTATGAAGCCTAATTGGTTCATATTTGTAAAGCACTTTGAAGATTAAAGCACTAAGTATTATTATTGTTAAACATTTAGACAGGATCTGGCAAGGCTGGTTTATCCAAATCCCATCCTGCCAGCTTGCAACTCTGTCACAGCATCTGCTGCGTGGGAAGGACCAGTGTTGGATAAACCCATCATTACAGCCTTTGCCACCCACCTCTCATGAGCTGCTGCTTTTTGTTCAGGCACTCGCGTTCCTTGTCGCAGATCTCTCTCTTGTTCTGGGCAGTTATATTCTTCATGGCTTGCTCCAGGTCTTCCTTCTGCTTGGCCAAAAACTCCTGTTCCTGGAAGAAAACAGCAGTAGCACCATGAGCCTTCTTTCTGCTTCAACTTGAAAAGCATCTGGTGGTGTTTTAAAAACTGCTAGTCCCTAAAAAAAGGATGTTTCTGTCTATTGTGCACTTCCCAATCTTGGAGTCATGGCAACCTTCCCTCAGCCTTACCATGGTTTGTTTTTTCTGGGCAAAGTCATCCATCTTCACCTTCATGTTCCCTTTGCGCTGCTGACGTGGCAGCTTCTCAACCTCATTCTTGACCTTTGGGAAGGGAAATGAGACTATCAGCGAGTAACTTTAGGTCAAGGACAACTCCATCAGATGTTGCTAAACAGCTGGATCTCAAGCAATACCCAAAGAAAAGCAAGAGCTTCCTGCTAAAACACCAACTGCTTCCCTCTCAAGTTCTGCTATGGAGAAATGCTGAGCCTGGAAGAAAGAGATGCAGGAAACCAGCTTTCCTCCTTCCTCCTACCCCCATTTTTACCTCCTTCTTCATCTGCTTCAGCTGTTCCAGGAATTTGACATGGTCCCGCTCCTGCTCCAGGCGAATGCGCTTGGCCTCCTCTCGCCGGCGCAGCGAGTGATCTTGTTCCATCTTCTCAATCTGCTGCTTCTGCTGTCGTTCGAGGTTCTCCAGTTCAGTGTCATAGAATTTCTTCTTTGCCTATACGGGAAGGGAACACAGGTCAACCTCAGCCTCCTCGCCTCTTCCTTCTGAGAAGTTTGTGAATTTTTTGTGGTTTTGTTTGTTCTAAAAGAAGATAAAAAAAGGGACGGAGGCTTTGCATGGACTGAGCCTCTTTACTAAACACAGAGGAAGGAAATTTCCATATAGCACCCCATGCAGCCCACAAGGCAATGCCAGCGCTAGTGTGAGCAGAAAGTGCTTCGGAACTTGTTCTACTGGTGATGCCTTTCAAGACTTCTGCTTATGTCCTGATTGGCAACATCTCACTGGGACCCATAGCCCTGGGTGAGCACCAGACAGCGAAGATCATGCAGAACAGTTCTTTCACTGCAGACAAGGATTTCCAAGTTTGAGGGCACTGCGCTCCGACAGCACCCTTGGGGCCGATCCTCCCTGTGAGCTGAAGGGATGGAGCACCTGGGTGTCAACAAGAGCAGGCTGCAAACTGCCCCAGGGAGCGGGTAAAGAAAGCAGGTTTGGGGCTTTTGCACATCACGCTGTAAGGTGAACAAGTCTCACAAATGGGAAGTGACTTGCTGAGACGGGAATTCACAGACCTGGCACGTCAAGACTGTAGGAATACAACAGAGCACACGAATGAGCTATGGCTCCCAGCCTGCTGCAAGAGGCTGTGGTTCCCAGGCACACATATGAGGTGAATTAATAAAAGGGTATTTAAAAGATGGCTCATGAAAGTGTTAAAGGGACTTGGCTACAGCATTATTTTACTTCAATGGAAGCTGCCCATGCAGGGACTAAATATGTAAGCCCAGTTTATTCAATTTACACTCAGAGACTTGCCAGAGTTCCTGCTGTCACATGCTGGCCACACTGCTTTCTTAAGGTTTTTTTTTGTGAAATACAACAGCTCTAGGAACTGTTTCTCACAGTAGCCATGAACAGATGTACAAGAAAAAGATCATTAAAGCGGGAAAGTCCGGAACAACCCTTCCCCTGCTACATCCTGCCAGCAGAGGTACTTGGCGCTTGCAAGCTGAGGGTTGCATATGCTTAATGCCCACAAAAGCCTCTGTCCTCCACAAACATCCCATGCCCCAGATCCCAGAGGGCTTCCTCAGCAGTCCTGCTCCCTCTGGACATGATGCCCCAGGACTGCTGCAACTCAGAGAGCATCACCCTGCACCAGGGTTTGCAAGGCAACTGTAGAGGAAAAGTCAAATGAGCTGATACCCAGGAGCTTCCCCCTTCCACGTACCACCATTTCTTGCTCAAAGCGCCTGAGCATCTGCTCCAGCTGCAGCTGGTGTTTGCTGTTGAGCTGGGCCTGGTTTCGGTGCTCCTCCTTCTGAAGGAGACGCAGTTCCCGCAGCTCCTGGCGCCTGTTGAGGGTTAAAATGGAGAAGGAGAGAGAAGCAGAGAGTCAGACAAGGTCAGGGGCATGTGCCCGAGTGGAGACGGCAGAATCAATAACCAGAGCACTTCAGGGGGAATGAGAGCTGTGCAGCCATCCTGTAGCACCCTGCCACTTGCACTCAGCACAGGCAGGAGGTAAATGCCAACTGACTGATGTGCTCTCAGGCTCTGTGACACTGCGAGGAAGCAGGATGCTAATTACCATAACTGCTGGCAAACCATCAACTCGCACAGGTAAGGCCTGTTAGCATTCACTGTGTGTGAAATAAGCCCTGTCAAAGCTCCTAAGGTAATTCTACATGCACTACTCCCCAGCCAGCACTGAAAACACACATTCTGCTAGCTGGGTTAGTGCACACTGGTCTTCAAAACACAGCTCAGGCCAAGCTGGTGCCGTTCTGGCCTGGCCCCTGTGCTCTGCATCCATTCTTGCTCACACCCAGGTGGCAGAAGAGGCAGATTTCCAGAATTCAGATCTGTCACAACACTGCATCATTCCCCTCATCAAGCAAAAAGGAGCCTCTGCTCAGACAGTTGCATTTGAGCCTGACACGTTTGCGCCTGGTTGAGCTGGAATATACTGATGTAGAAAAAGAACAGCAGCAGCAGTAGCTTCCCCATGCAGGATCCCCACCGTGATCTCTGCTGCCATGCATTAGCCTTACACATCAAGTACAACTCTCCCTGGGGGCTCTCCTGGGAAAAGCACTTTGGAACAATTTCTTCTTTCAAAACAAACTCAAGCCCCATTAAATCAGCTGGCACAGTATGATGTGCTCTCATCTGATCTCACCTTCAAATCCAAACCTTGGCATGTTCCAAGAAACCAGAAACAAACCCCTTAAGTGCAAATCAAGATGCGAAGAGAGTTGATTGTGCCCACTAGCTAGCCCCAGGGGAATAACTGCTCCTCCTAAAAGGTGTTCAGGGACTTGAGGCTTTCCAGCCAAAGCCTCTGTGTCTCTTCACCCACCTCACAGATGGAGAAGGCACAACTTAAAGAGAGTCCCCTTTCCAGGGATGCCACCACAGCTCGGGGTGGACCAGGAGAAAGCAGCTGTGCCTGGAAATTCCCTATATGCTAGTATGCACGTTCTCTGTGTTTGACTGGGGTTATATGCACTTCTCACACAAGAATAAGTAGCTAACGAGCTTCTATATAGATCTGATATTAGGGCCTATGAATAAGGTTGCCACAAGAACACACAGTGCTTGGGATGAATTGTATTCTCAGAGGGCCCCTCAAAGCAGCACAAGGGAACCTAGATTAGGGCATCAAGCAAAACAGTTTGTATTTTAATTATTTTAAGGGCCTTTTCATTTCAGTGCTGCTGATAGTAACCAAGGTAGAAACAGCAGCTTCTCTTCCTGAGAACAGGTCATGAGGTTTGAAAGCTGTAAGATCCACAAAGGAGTCATAAAGGCTGAAACAGGGAGGATACATTCATGAACATTAAGCGGTGCTCAAGGAGTTTACAACTCTGTTGGCCTTTCTGTCAATGAATTCTGAGGAGACGGAAGAGCAAAAGGAAGAGGAGCGTCTTGAGAACATTTCTGTGCTTATTTCCATTGAGCCAGAACACCTACAGCCCTGGAGACACATTCAGTCATCCCCAGAGGATAGAGTGAGCCACAGCACAAGCTTCTCTCTCGTCACAGCTTTGCTGCACCTTATCACCAAGATGCATACCTCATTTCTCTGCATGAAAAGAGCTCAGCTTAGTCAGTACATCAAGGCCTCTGCCAGTCAAGGAAAGGCCAAAAGAAGTGATGCCCACACTGGACAGTTGTTCTGCCCAAGGGGGATCAAGACAGAAAATAAGAGCACATTAGGTCGCTCCTGGATTTGTTTGCAGAGAAGAAAACCCTGCCCTGGCTGGTGCCCTGCCCTCCCTGCATCCCAGTGACCCACTTGCCTGAGAAACCTCATCTCTTCATCCTTCTTCTCATCCTCACTGATGATTTTCGAGGTGGTGACGCTCACCTCTACTCCATCCACCACAAACTTGCGGGTGCGCTTTAACGTCTTCTTGTGCATCCGGGAATCCTGAGTTCAGCAAGAGAGGGAAAGAAGAAACTATGCAGCAGAGCTCCCCCGCTTGTTGCATGGGGTGCAGAGCTGGAAGCTTCAGAGCAATTTTGATGCCATTGTTAATGAGGAACATAAGCAGGGAAACCACATCAAGCAAAAAACAGCAGCAGATTTGGAGCTGCCCTTCACACCACTCAGCCTTGCAATGATGCCACAGTACAGTGTGATTGCTACCCTGCAGAAACCTGACCTGGAGAAGAGGCATGTGAAAACCCTTCCTCGCCATGTCCAACTAAAGCAAAACCTGATAGGGAACACTAGGATCCTTCCTTAATTGCAGTGCTGAAAAATCCACACAACAGGAAGCTTGCAAATGGTTCATTTAAAGGCTCCTGCACTATCTGACCCACAGGTATCCCCCCATGTCCTTGCACATGTGAGGCAGGCAAGGTCCTCGCATCAGGCTGTGCTTGCAGACAAAGCCAGGGAAACAAGCCAGCCCTGCCCAAAGGCTCAGCACTCATGTCCCTCTGCTCCTCATTACAACACTCCACTAATCACAACCAGCTCTGAGCCTCTCACCATGACCTCCACAAAGCACAGCCCAGGCTCACTTACATTAGCATTGGCAGGGACAAGTGCCAGAAGCACCCATCCTCTCCCAGCAATAGCGCAGGTGGTCAGCATCCCCCTGCAGGGTCAGCAGCCCAAGCTTGGCTAAAGGACTGTGACCAGGGACTCAGTTTCTTTGGCAAAAAAACAAGGATATGAATGACTTGAATCATGCAGCCCTACAGGAAAGCACAATGGTGCAATGAGCAAAGGCTCCCTGAAGTCCTCTTGCTCTTGCAGTGATAGCCATTAGAGATATAGAAGATGTCAGAAGAGCTTCCTGTGAGCCTGCAAGGCCCAGAGCAAGCCCCTGAAAAGCTTGCTGTAACAGAGGAGTCAGAGAAGCTCTGACGGCATGCAGCCTGCCCACTGTGTAACAACAGACCACTATAGCAGTGGTTCAACCAACAGACAAATTGGTGCAAAAAGGTTTGCACGAGACCAGCCTAGGTCACAGAGGCTCTTACTGCCCCAAACTGAATTAAAACAGCTGTCTAAAACTCCTGCATTGTCCAAATGAGAAAATGCCACCACTGAGCTCTCTGTACCAACCTCTGTGCCCAATAACACCCTCACTCACTGCCTGAGCCCAGTGACCTGGGGATGTGGCAGCCCACCTGGTTCTTGGTCTCTGAGTGGTCCCCAGGTTCTTCCCCACTGTTGAACAAGCAACTCCCTGCCTTAGTCATGGAGCTACTCAAACATGGATATTAAAACAGAATTACTCATTTTCTCCTGGTCTTTTCTGTTACCCCTCAGTAGCAGGCCAGCATCCTCTCATGAACACAAGAAAATGCATTTTCAAACATTCCTGTAATGTAAATTGCTCTCCAGAGAAGAGTCTGACAAGCTGTGGTCATATGGGATGCTGACTTTGAGTGCTCACACTTCACAGCGCACATCCCAGTGCGCCTCCTCCAGCTCCCAAGGGTTTCAGCCAAAGCTGTGAAACGCCAGCACACACGCAGGTCTCACCTCAGAAAGTCAAGCTAGATACTCAAAAGGAGGAGTTCCCTCCAGAAGCAGGTGTATCTGAGAAAGTTTGGGTTACCTTTTCAAAACCCTATCCGTCTCCTTTTGCCTGAATCTGACCTTTTTCCTGCCAGCTGCAGCCTCCCAAACTCACCTGTAGATTTCCTATTCCTAATCTTCCTGAAAAAAAAAGAAAAAAGGCCTGAATACTTTTTACCAGAGGTTTAGTTTTTGGTTTTCTTCTGGACTAAACTATTAGCAACTGGAAAAAGAAAAAAGTCTGGTAATAAAAGGGTCACTTGAACTTTGCAGTTTAGCCTGTGATAAATGCATGTAATAGTTAATGTTTACAGTCAGAAATGGTTTAATTCTTTGCTGCTCCTTCTCTTGCTGTAACCTGCCTGGCGCTCTGTGCACAGAACCCAGCAGCACCAGGAACATGAGCATGGGCAGAGCAGGGGAGTTTAACCCCATGAAGCTAAGGCTGGGCAAGGAGCCTGGGTGAGGAGGGAGCAGCAGAGCCTGGTACCCCCCATGCACTCACAGCTCATTGTGCAAAGCAGAGGCTTCAGCAGAACATCTTTCCTAGAGGCCTCCAGCAGCATTGCTTCTGCAGAACAGCTCTGCTTGAATGCCTTGAATGCTTGGAGAGATGACATTTACTTTGTTCTGAGCAATACCTCTGGCTGGGGCAACTCAGACTACGACCTAACATGACCATCTCTTTGAGACTTACTCCCTGTAAAACCCATGAACTCCTTTCCCTTTCTAGGGGAGCAGCTGGGGAGAGCAACTACATGTGTGGCATCATATTCATCTTTGGCTGGCCTCAGGGAGACCAGGTAACATGGGAAAGGCAGTGATGAGGGATAAACTGCTATGCAAGAGCATTGCAGTTCCCTCATTAAGGATCCACATTAATTGCAGGCTCCTGCAGGGGATGCTGGCTCTCATGCTCACAGCAGGAGACAGAAGGGGAGGAAAGTTTTGCCAAGAATGGTTTTCTCAGCACGTTTCTATGCCGGGAAGCTATCACTCACACAGGCAATTGGATAAAGGTCTTGTGCAACACGCTACTTTGCTCCCTCAAGTCACACGTATTTCTTCTTCTGAAGCTCAGCAAATACCATTCCAGTTATTTTGCCTTTTCCTCCAAGCCATGCTGACCTGGCCGGCTCTGGCTCACAAACATTCCCAGCCTCCAGAAAGCTTTAGCAAAAGCCAAGAAGCCTGGGAAGTTTTCATGCAAGTTACTGCTGACACAAACCAGGCCAGATGTATGGCAGGTTGGAAAAATTAAGAGAGGTACTAGCCCAAATAAGCTTTCTGCTAGGGCTAGGAGAGCAACAGAGTGATGGGCAATGGATAGCTTAGGAAATCACATTTTGGGTTTCATGCTTGCCCTTGCTCCAACTGTGTATGACTGCACAAGTCAGGTGAGTGGCACGGTTACTTCACGCTTCTCAAGGACCCAAAATAACTATAGAGCATCAGACTTCAGTGGCCTGAGGTAGCAGAGGACACATCTACCTGCAGCAGCTCCATGAAGAGCTTCTCCTTCACTTGAGAACACACCATGTGCTCATGGCATAATTTAACCCAGCAGTGTGTGCTGTGCCAGCTGGAGCCCAGCTGGGACAGGCATCCCACAGACAAAGAGAGCAAACCATCAAAGGCTTTCCCTAAAGATGGGCTTCCTCCCGCCTTGCTGCCCCTATGTTTATTTGCAGAGCTCCAAGCCTGGACACTCATACTGCAAGCACCAAGTCCAGTCTTCCCAGCTATCTGGAATGTAGGCACATAGGTGTTCTTTAGCATCAGGCTGTCCTCAACCAGCCTCTGTCCTCTCCTACTTTACCTGTTCCCCACCTTCAAGCACAGGTCACACTTGGGGCATCTCATTTTCTCCTCCTGTAGTCAAAGCTCAACCCCATGTAGAGCACAACATGCTGCTTTCTCAGGAAGGAGTTTAAGGGGCTATGGCTGAAGTGTGCAAGTCCACAGCCTCTCAACGAAAGGATCTGAATTTCAGGTCTGAATTCTAGGACTTGGCTGAAAAGAGAACCTTGGTGCTTTTTAACAGGGGGTGGCTGCTCTTCCTTCTTCACACCCTCTGCCCTCCACACCACTCACCTTCGGGGAGATAGAGCCACTCTCCCTGTTGAGGGACAGGTCAGCAGACAGGGAGATGGTGAGGTCCATACTTTCAGAGGCTGAAGTGCTGCCAGAATCCGAATCCCCTTTGGACCGGCTGCCAGGGAACGGAGCTGGGGAATCCAAGCTCCCATTTGCAAGCTTTTCCTCCATTAAGGTCTCCAGGTGGCTGCTCTCTGGTCGCTCCACGATGCTCTTCCGCTCCTTGCTGCCTGGCCCAGGCTGCTTCTCCCCCTCCATTGAGTTACTGAGCCGGCTGGGCTGCAAGATGATGTCCGGCTTGCCCTGGGTGGCCGAGGTGGCAGAGCTGGCAAGGGCTTTTGTGGAGTGGTTGCTCTCCAGCTTGCCACTGTCACCGTTTATCCTTTCACTTGAGAGTTTATCGCTATGTCCATCTGTGCTCTCCTTGCCAGTCACCACAGGCCCGTTCACTGCCTTGGGCAAGGGAGATTCTGGAGGCTTCTCCCCATCGAAACTCATCTGACTTGCCTCGGAGGGGTCCCGCTTGTGCTTACCAGGGGGCTAGAAAGACAGCGAAGGGAAGGTGTTGGGTTTTGCACCACTGCTTTAACACATCTGCAAGAGCTGCAAGTCCCCATGCATCAGAGCAAAGTCACCCACAGCTAAAGAGTCACTGGGAGGAATTTTTCTCTTTCAGGACATCAGCCCTGGGATATCTTTTTCCAGGTTTGTGGTCCCAAGGACTGTGGACACTGGCTGGAGGGAAACAGCAGAGTGGGGAAGCTGCAAAACCTGCAACTTCTTAAGAGGCATCCTAGGAGTTTCCTTATCAAACACCTTTTCCCATAGCTAACTCCACCATGGATTAATCACTATCCTTTGGTACAGATGGAGGAGGTTGAAGCATGGCCCCCAACAAAGCTGCACAGGCAGCCACCAAAAAACAGCCCCTCTGTGGCCAAGAAACTGCTCCCCCCAACTCCACCAGATGGGGCCCAGAATAGCTGTAAACCAGCTTTTGGGAGCCTAGAGAAGTTAGGAGCTCCTTCCCTCATCACAGCCACAAACTTGCCAGCACGGTGCTGGGAGCGCTCACCAAGGCAGACTCCAACGAGTCGTCTTCTTCTGCTTCATCCCGACTGTCCTCGATCTCTTCCATCACCTCAGCCTTGGCCTCGGCCACCAGCTCACGCAAGGCACGGTTGCTGGTCACCTTGCTGACGAAGGGATGCTGAAAAGCCAAGCACAATGCACATGTGTGAGGTGGCCATAAAGCAGACTTTGCGAGCTTGCAGCCAAGTAAGCACATGGGGACAGCAACGGCAAGGACCACTTCCTGCTTAGAACAATCACAGAGTCCTAAAGACAAAATACTTGCCAGTGTCACCATGCTTAACCCTCAGAAGAATCAACAGATACGTGCTGCATGTATGAGGCAGAAGAAGAACAAGCACGATGCCAAGGTTAAGCACCAGCTCTGCACACAGATTCTTAAAGCATGGTGCTCTGTGAAGCTGCTTTGTCAATGTCCCCCAAACAAAATCACCAGCTGCATTTAAACAAGGGGCTTTTGCTGCAGAGGAGACGTCTCCCCTCTCCACAAGCAGGCTGAACTCCAGGGTGTAGGTCCAAGCCCAGAGTGCCACCAGCAATGGGGTAAGAGCCAGTCTGGGGGGCAAACAGAGGGGAAGGTTTGATTGAAATTGAGCTCAAATTGCTCAGCACACACAGTGAAGTGTTTGTGTTGAGCTTCAGCAAAAGGCTGGGGAGTCCCTCGGGTTCACAGGGACTGTTGCACGCTTCCTCCTGCCAACCACAGCCACTGGGGAAAAGCATCTTCCAGATTCTTGCTATTGCTCTGGAAGTGAACGGGAGGAAAGGAGCTGAATTTGAATCTGGGATAACCAGGTATAATCCAAGCTGGCTGCCACATGGGTATTTTCAGGCAGTGGGAGCCATTTTTATTCCAGCTTTTGTCCCCAGGGACTCTGCAGTTAGCTCCAAATGGAAAAAGCATTGCTGTTGCTTTTTGGAGCATTTCAGTGGCTGAAAAGCGCTATGAAATTTCTAAACAAAACAAAAACAATCTGAAACCAGCCTGGGGCCCATCAGCACCTTAGTGGGGTGGTTTAGCTCTGAATCACGCCATACACACAAGGGACACTCACAGACTGGGGCAGACACAGACACTATACACAGACCCAGCCCTGGGTCCAGGGCTGGCCCCTACCTCCAGCAGCTGGGCAGCACTGGGCCGGGTCTCTGGGTTCTTGTCCAGCGCCTTCTTCAGGAAGTCTCTGAACTCCAGGGACCTTAAAACACAGTTGTTGGTGAGAAGCTCAGAGGGAAAGGCCCTGAACACCACAGGGGTCTGCTCCATCCCTGTGCAGGTTCTGTCCCAGTCTGCAACTGGTAAGAATCATCGTTTCACTCCCAGCACGGGAAACCCTGTGCTTGGCTATTCTGATTATTTGTAGGAGAATCAGCAGTGTGGCCAAGTGAGGGACTAGATTTTGCCTTACCTGCGATGGCAACGGACAGAGAGGCTGAGCACTGGGCTCTGTGCTCCAGGGCCAAGGCACAGTTAGGAAAGGACACCAGCAGTTATCCTCCAAAGGGAGCCCAGGGGTGGAGCTGCTTGGACAAGGATGCTCCAGAACCCATCCCCACAGCTTCAAGTGTGAAAGGATGGCTGTGAAGGACCAGAAACCCCATAGGAGGGCACCCTCAGCCTGCAAAGCACAGCTCTGAGACACAGAGCATGTCCCTGATATTCTGTGCTGCTTGCTCCTGCTGGGTTTTGGTGTTGGGATCCTGCCTGCTACCTGAACTGCTGTAACAACGCTTGCGACTCCAGTGCTCTCCCAGCAGTAATCTACTGCTGGCTATTATGCAGTGGGTTTTATCATGATTAAAAGAAAAATCTGCTAGTATTTTTTAAATGGAGAAGAGACTTCCCAGACTACAGGAAAGAAATTCTAGAGCTCTCAGCCATCTCCAGGTTTAGAGGAAAATCTGCCTTTCATACAAAACCAGGATGCTTTGAAAGCAGCCAAGAGATCACCCTCATTTCAGCAGGGCTGTGGGTGAGCAGCAGCTCCCCCCGTGCTGCCTGCACATCATCACAGTGTCAGCACAGTCACAGCACAGAGCTCGATTTCTGCATTGGGTTCTCAAATTAAACAATACTGCTAGAAAAGACTGTTTTTTTTCTCTCTTGAAACACTGTAAGTTGGAAAGCAGACACTCTGCTGCCCCAAACCCCTCACCATTTGGAAGGGCAGCTGAGCGTGGGGGGGTCAGACTTGGCAATCTTCAGCAGGACTCTCATGGGGTTGAGCTCATGATGGGGTGGCTCAATCTGGGCCATTTCAATCAGCGTGATGCCCAGAGACCAGATGTCTGCCTTGTAGTCATACGGAGTGTCCTTCATGGTCTCACACATCACCACCTCCGGGGCCATCCTGCAAGGGGCAGAGCAAGGAGCAGGGATGGGACGGGTGACACCACAGACAATGTGAGGCTTGCCACAGCAATTAAATGCTTTAAATAATACACAGCATTCCATAAAATCAGCCTTTCCTCCTAGCTCTGGCTTTCAGAAGCAGCAGCATCTTTTCTAAGGGGTCCAACTCCCTCTGTCTTCCACAAACCAACCAAGACAGCCCATAGAAACCCCCAGGCCATTGACATCTGGCATGGATGTTGCTGCAGACAATAAATTAATCCTCGCTGATGCCATTCCTTCAGCAAGTCGGGTGATTTAGAGATTGTGTTTCTGGAGCGAGGAGTTGTTCCCATGTGCTTGGAGCTGCTTCAAAGCCCACTGAACCCCCCCCCGGGGGCAGGGAGCGAGGAGCACACACATGCAAGCACACGTGTGTCCTTCACTCCTCCAAGCCTGGAGCATGGTGGCCCCTCAATAGCCCAGGGCACTGCGACACAGGGCAACGCTCCCACACCACTGAGGCTGCTCACAGCCCCCTCCAGCAAGGGAAACCCTTGCACATGTGGACACTGGCCAAGACTCCTTGCTGAAATCCTCCCAGCCGTGCTTGGTGAGGCACTATGGTGCATCACATCCCAAAGGCCATCCGCTCCCTGTTTCTGAGCAAGCCTGATTTTCAGAAGAGTGAAGCTCCTCACGAACACCGGGTTTCTTAGCAAGCAGGTCACTCACCAGTAAGGGGTGCCAATGAAGGAGTCTCTCTTCTGCAACGTTTTCATGTTTTTGGCAGACACTCCAAAGTCAGCTGCAAAGAGCAGTAACATTAGATGCTGCAGGAAAACCAAAGACCCTTCTAAACCAGCACACTTGGCTGAAATGCAGGTTTAAAAGCAAATGCACATTTAAAGCAAGAACATGATACAACTTGATGCTTCCTCTAAACAGAGCATCAGAAATTAGATTTGCTTTTGGACACATAAGCACCAGGGACCTTCCCCCTCCCATGTGCTGTAAGACAGGGGCATAACAAGTCACCCTTACTGTAACCCAAACCCTACACATCTAGAGCGAAGCTGAGCTCTTTTCCACAAGCAAACAAAAGCAGAGCCGTGGCAGATTACTTTCAGGACTGCTATTTCATGGCAAAAAGTCTCACTTTACACCAGAAAAACCAAAGTGCTGTTACAGTCTTTCTTTTCCTTTCAGCCCTGCTTACAGCGGTCACTGCATGATGCCTTTCAATGAGTATGCCCCTTTTATAGAGAGCTTCTGAAGCCAACCAGACCCAAATCAAACTGGTAAGACCTGCAAAGGGTACCAAGCCCACTTCAGGTTACTTTGCTCCCCAAATTGCTACTGATGACCTCTGGAGGAGCTGTTATCCATCTGCACCCCGTTCTTAGGAACATTTCTATCTTCCCAGGCTGACTCCTGGTCTCCATCAGCACCCACAAACACATCCCAAGAGCACCCACAGCTACCAGCACCCCTCAGAGTACAAAAGGAGATCTGCATCTTTCTGACCAGTCCCTACAGACAAAGCTACCTTCTCATCCTCCAGCAGGTAGTTGGATGTCAGTTTAACTCAAGTTGCTTGGCAAAGCAACCTTTTGGCAAAACTCCCCCTGTCACCACCAGACCTGCTCTGGAGATAGGATGAATTCTTCCAGCTCCCAGCTATGTCAACTGGCACCCTGCACAGGATGCTCAGCAGGCCAAAAAGCATTAAAGTTGAGTTCAAAGAAGGATTAAACAAATTCACTAAAGGAACGTCCGTGAAGAGCATGAGCACAGCTGTGGCTCGGTGAGGCTTGGTACCCAGCTGGGTGCTAAGCACAGCACACAGCTCAACAGCAGACTGAGCCTTGCACCTCCTGCCTGAGCTCATCAGCAGCAAAGTAGCTGATGTCCCATAGGCAGGGCAGAAGGCAGAGAGCATCCCTTGATCTCCCCCATGCTTGGGTATAGCTGAACACTACTGTCCAGCTCCCAGCAGCACATGGCTGTCATTAACGTAGCATGAAACGGTCCCGCAGCTCTCCCATTGAATTCACCAAGCAAACACTTGCTGTGCTCCTGTGCAGGCCAGCTCACCGAGCTTGATGTCCCCATCCTGGGTGAGGAGCACGTTGCCTGCCTTCAGGTCACGGTGGATGATCTTCTTGCTGTGGAGGTAATGGAGGGCTTCCAACATCTGGCGGCAAATCACTTGAATCTGAGGTTCGGTCAGGCCCCGGTCTAGCTCTGTGGGGAGGAGGGAGCTGTTAACCAGGTCAGGGATTGGAGCAATGCTCCACATGAGCAGCAGGAAGGCACTTGCTATCCAGCAGACCATTTAAAAACCACTGTCCATGTGTCAAAGTCGTGGGAGACCAATGCAAATCAGCTTGTTAAGGTAATCTATTCCCTAAACCAGCACTCAGCACAATGCCTGCCTGCCTGAGGCTGCTGGTTTATAGCTCCCTCCCAGGGATGCTTGGCTGAGGCATCTGGCCCAGGAATAGCGGATAAGGAGCATGAGAGGGGGAGCCAGGCATGCCTGCAACAGGGGTCTGAACTGTAAGTTCCCTGCAATTTGGAAAAGAGGTCCCTGCAGACAAGGTGAGTCATGCCCAGTGTGGGGATGCTGCTGCCAGGAGGAGGGAGGTGAACTCAGCTGCAGGCAGCAGTAGGGCCAGACACAGGCGTGAAAAATCAGCAGCTTCATATGCAGCCATGGTGTCATCCCCTAAGGAGCTACCCCTGCCATGGAGACGCAGCATATCTCCTGGTACATGAGGGGCACACTACTTCCCAAAGCAACAAGCAATAAAATGCTCATCTACGTTATCCCTGTCCACCGCTTTCAGCTGGTATTTCAGTTAGCACCAGATACCAGCCAGCAGTTTGTACCCTGCAGTCTGTCCCTATTTCTGAAGCCACCGGTGTGACCTCCCTGCTGCGCTCTGCCCAGCCATCTTCACCACCCAAGACTACTTTCCAAAGCGACAGCTCTGCAAACCATCAAACTTCCAGATGGTTAGCATCATCCGAGCTTCCCTCCCTCCCTTTGCAGTGCAGATCCCTCCTCCAGCACAGCAGAGCAGACCAAGCCTCAGACAACTCCAGCTGCCCAAACTACACAGCCAGGATGGGGCTGATGGATGGACTCTAGCAACTGGGACAGATGCTTAACCACAGTCTGGGGGATGCTGGGTCAGCCACTTTGTTCCTCCTCTTCCTTACCAAGATCTCCCTTGCTCTGGGGGAAGCTGATGCTTTTCACTCTCCCTGGAGCACCTGGCACAAGTGAGGTACAATAGGCCACAGGTTTTGTACAAAAGATTTCAAAAGCGAACACCAGTTGCTGGTGGTGATGGGGAGGTGGAATAGGCAGCAGCTCTGAATCTACTCATACTGGGAGCATTCTTGGGGTCCTTCTCAGAGCTCCTCCTGGCCCTCATTCAGAGGGTGACAGTGCTACAGGCAGGTCACTTGCTCATGGTTTTCTATCTTCCCCCTTCCCAGGTCCTCCAGAGACCGACTGCCATGGACACAGCCCCATGGATGCTCAGGGGGATTTTCATGTCCCAAGAGGCAGGGCACCCCTCCTGAGGTTTTCCAGGGAGAAGGCATCATTTCATCCAGCACTTTGCAACAGGTACTTGTTAATGCAGTGATTTGGGCCTTTTAAATTCATTAAAGAATTTCCTAAAGGACGCACTAAGTTTCAGGGCTGAATCAAAAATGACAAATTTGTGTCCATACTTTCTCTGTAAATAAAAAGCAAGCGAGGACTTTGGAAATATCAGAGCCGAAAAGGAATAACCCCTGGGGAGAAGCAGCTCTGCCCAAGGGGCTCCAGGCAGGAAGATGTCAGAACACCACGTTCACCATGTAGATGGGATGTCACTGCCCCTAGGGTCCATAACTGCCGTGGCACCAGCCAGGGCTGTTTTGGGGAACACCTGCACACTCCCAGTCCCAGCAGCTCTATGTGGAAGGGAGGAGTTAAAAATGGGAAGATTCCTGGAATTTCTGCAAACTGCAGTTTCTTCGGACACTGCTGCCTCGCCAGATGACCGATACCATATGGAGAAGTCAGCAAGGAGATCCTGGGAGATTCATCACAACAGATTAAACATCTCAGCTCTGTTGCTCTTCCCAGGAAGCTGTGGGAACACGATCCCAAGACCCAGTGCCTCAGATAAATATTTAAAGCCATCTTTCCCCTCCAGCCAGACTCTCCCTTCTCCCCATGCCTTGTGATCTGCTGATGCCAGCAGCATTTAAATCACAAAAGGACATCAAAGTAGCTCAAGAAACACTGCAGGGCTGCCACACCTTCTACACCAGGTATGAAAAATAGGCAAGCTCATGGGAGAGAAACAGTAGCTGGAGAAGCTGGGGCACCCACGTCCACCATCCATCCATCCATAGGTTGCCCCTGAAAGCATGCCAGAAGGCTGGAAATGCCTTCAGGGCATCCCCCAAGCACGGAAAGGAGCCCAGCACCGCACACTGCACTCACCCAGCATGGTGGCATCCACCGCCCCGCCTGGGCAGAACTCAATCATGATCTGGGGAAACAAAGACAGAGGAATTAAACTCAGGTCCACATCTCTGTGAGCAAAGCTCACTGGGTAGGGAAGAGGAGACAAAAGCACTGGGTTTTTCTTCCCCACACGGCAAAGCTGTTCCTTTGCCCCACTCAGGGATGCAGAGGCTTCTGTGCTCCTCAGGACACATCCTCCCAGGCATCCCCCGCACCAACAATCACCCAAGCCCTGTGGCAGGATCCAGCACATTGCCCTCAGCAGCCATCTGGGAGGGGCAGGACTGTCCCCATCACTGCAACACCCCCAGCATCATACCTGGCCCCATACCTGGACACCCACCCTGAGCAGTCAGCTTCAGCTTCGCTTCCTCACTGTTCACATCTCTTCCCATTGCATTTTGGAGCGAGGGCTGCTCCAGAGAGCGGCCTTGCCAACAGGATGAGATAGCTGTCATAGCTGGGAGCTGACGTGGCCGCGAGAAATCAGGCAGGGTTTTCTTTGGCAAATGAAACATGGGGAGGGCTGGCAAGTCTTAATTTTGTTTTAACTTTGCTTTTTTTTCCTGCCCCCATTGCTCCATAGTTCATTGCCCTCTTGATTCTGAGCTATTTGAGGAGAAACTATGTCAATAAAGAGGTTGGGTACGTTCACCAGATTGATGCTGTTTCTCTCCCAGTGATGTGCACAGAGTTCTGCCAGTCCTGCCTGGTCCTGGCTGTCCCCCCACTGATCCTCTCTACCTTCACCTCTGCAAAAACCTCAGCCAGAGCCCAGGCTGGGGCTCGCTACCATCCACGGCTCCCCACTGCCCTCAGGGCAGGCTGCTCAGATGAACAGATTAACATCTCAAGCAGCCGGGGTTACAAGATAGAAGAGATGCTTCACCTCCCCAACAAGCTCTTCTCCTTGTCCAGGTGACACAGGACAACATACCAGAGAGGTGAAATGCTAGAGTTTATTTTGAGGACAACAACTGAGCAAACCAAAGGCAGCGTTTACCAGCACAACTCTCTAATCCCTTCAAGTGGAAGTCACGTGCAGCACTAAGCACTGGACCAGGAGCCAAGGTTCAAGCTCCCTCTTTCCCATGGTGTAAGCCTACAACTCCAGCAAACCACTTCCCACCCTTTGGATCTGCAGTTCCTACACATGGACAAGAGAAATGCTACTATCAACTTGGACCACAGCGCAAGACACAACTGCCTTGTTTCAGTGGAGAAGAGGGAGCAGGACCAGGCAGAACTGCTCTACAAGAATTGGCCCAGGAACAAGAGTCAGAAGGGAGATAATGCTGAGAAACCCAGGCAGGTTGGGCAGCATGACAGAGGCACTGTTGGAGGAAGTGGAGAAGAAGAAACCAGAGGCCAGGGCTGGGGAAGCATTTGAAGCAGGCAGATGGAGACAAGCAACTGGAAGATGTTTAAACCATTGGCAAACCAGGACAACAAATCTGCGCTGACTCTGGTTTGCTGAGGCTGCAGAAAGACAGTGCAGATCTGTCCCATGAAGTCTGACTGTCACACCTCTGCACTGCTCCGGCTGACAGAAAATCTGCCCTACAAATGATCCTGTCTCATCACTGAATCACAGTACAAGGGATTTTTCCATCTCACATGAGCAATCCTTTCCTGCTCCTGCCGCTCCAGGCACCTCAGGAACTCACCTACCCAAAGAGGGTGGCCTCCAGATTCAAGCAACAACCAGTCAGAACAGAAAGCCTGAGGGAAAGACTGGCTGTGCTACCAGGCTCAGCTCTTCAGCTTAAACAGACCCATAACCTAACAGAACCCATCTCAAATCATCTGCTAAAGTGGCCTTTGCCACCAGGGCCACTTGGGTGCTTTCACTGCTAATGCCCAGCAAGCAGCTTTACAGCCTCTGCCTCTCTGTGTCCCGCAGCTGAACAAAGTCCCCTGGCACCTCACACAGCTCCTCTTGCACAGCCTCCAGACTGAGAACCGTGATTTGCATTTTGAGGGGTGAGACGCACACAGAGCAGCCAGCTGGGGGATAGCCACATCCACAGCCTCTCAGGAGCCTCCACGCATAGATGCTGTGCCAAGGTCTCCTGCCAGGGGCATGGCTGGCACAGCCCAAATGTGCTCTGGTCAGACACACTGAGATTTTAAATGGGGAAGAGCCCAGCACAAGCAGCCTGACTCTGGACCCGTGTGGGGTGCATTTCATCTCCAAGTTTCATTTGGGTTTGCAGTCTAGCAATGAGAAAATCAGGGAAATCAGTCCATCTGAACCAGCATGACTGTGTATGTTTATGCAGGCACAGCAGGCTGCAAGCCAGGCACTGGGAATATGGGAAATATGGAAAACTTACAAATATGCATTTTCAACAAGGGCAGAGATGCCAAAGAATAATTACGGGTGCGGCCAGATTGTCTGAGCATCCAAAAACCTAATGGGCTGGTTTCAGCCCAGAAAACCTGATTTAAACAACTGCAACTGGCAATCCCATAGCTCATACACCACACACACACTTCCTTCCAGGAGCAAGTTCTGCCTGAAAAGTGTTTTACCACTGGAGCAGGTAGGAAGGCAGCAGCAGCAGTACATGGTCTCTGTGCGAGCTGGAGGATGCAGGAAGCTCACAGAGAGCAGAGGCTGTGCAGCGGGTCTGACACCCTGAGGTGGGCAGCCTGCCACTCTGGCTGCAATGAGGAATGAGTTGGGAGGATCCGAGAACAGAGCTGTTGAACAAGAGCCTGTGCATCTGTGCAGTAAGGGCTTAGGACTGTTTCCATGTGCTTTGGTATATGGGGCTGACTACTGGTGTCCCCAAACCACAGCTGGAGCAGTGACTGCTCTGGTGAGGGTCAATCTCAGCGCTGCACTTCACCTCTCTACACTGCACCGGGCTGCTGCCCATGTTGTAATTGCTGTCCCCAGCAATCCCCCTGTGACCTGCAAGACCCGGGACCCGGCACAGGGCTAGCTGAGCCACAGCAGCACCGCAAAACAGAGGTTTCACACACCCAGACCCAAAAAAGCTCCTGCCGCCTTGAGAACCAGCACGGGAAAACCAGGCGATCTCTGCCCCACTGTTGACAGCCTGAAAATGCCTCCTTCAACGCCAAGCTGGGGTATCACCTACACCTCCTCCTCCTGCTCGGGGTCCAGGCAAGGGGGGGGTCTGAGCACGCTGCGGGGTCTGCAGCGAGCAGCCTGGAACAGGGCTGGAGCAAACATCCTGTTTATAATGATTTCCTCTGCGCACGAAATCCAGGGACTTCCTTGCTGCAGGCTGCCCAGCCCCTCTGCTGCGCTGAGCTGCTGGGGGGGGGGGGGACACATGCAGCAGCAAACAGGAGTTCTCCCTCCTGCTGCCCCCTCAAAGCTGTCATAAATCCCAGGGATTAAGCACTATCAGCATTCTAGTTTTCAAAGCCCACAGGCAGCTGTAACCGTACCTCGCAGGCACATCCAAATTCACCGCTAGCTCCCATCACTGGGATGTGTGAGCAGCACAACCCTCCACCACTGCCAGAGCCCCACGGACTCAGCTCCAACATCACAGCCAAAGGAACCCAGCCAGTGTGCCTGCCGGGCTCGTTTGCAGGGCCACAAGGATGCATGAGCTGCATGCATGGGAACAGATTGGGGCAGCTGGTTTATAGACAGAAAAAGAAGCCCACTCCCACTATCTCTCAAAACCTTTGTACCACAGTTTGAGGACTGATACATATAAAATTAATATATATATATTTAATTTTATATATTTTAGTTATATATATTTTTAAAAGGACCCTTTTCTTCTATACCTTTAGCAAAACAGCTGAATAAAGAGGACTGCAAGCAGAAGCCACATAATCTTTCCCTTTCAAGACACTTTTGCATGGGCAAAATGAAACACAAGCTTAAATCTGAAAGCAAAAGTCCACTCGAGTTAAAGAGCTTTGCTGGTGACCTTGACGTTTCCCAGCGGCTCATCCTAATCCTGCCTTTAGGCACAGCAGGATTTGGAAGCATTTTGTAGCCAAAGTGGAAGCAGGGCATGCAGAGGGGGCTGGGGCTGTTTTCTGAGCTGCTCAAGTAATAAGTGACTGCCTGGGAGGAGAGGAAGCAGGGTCCAGTGAGTCTAGGGCTGCCCTGGAGAATAAATAGACATACATATGTATGAAACAGCTAAATTAAGGGCTCTTAAAGATGCAGGTCTTCAAGCTGCACCTGAGCAAGGGGGCACCATGTATTATGAGAAAGCATTACAGGACCTTGAAACTCAAGACAGCAGATTGGACCCTGTGCCAGGAGAAACCCTCCAGCAGCTCACACAAGCTGAGGGCTGGAGGGATACCAGCCCTGCAAACAAGCTAAGTACAGATTTCAGCCCAGGACAGCTTCTGGGTCTGACAAACCAGAAGCAGCATCTCCTGCCCAGGTACCGAAGTCCTCCAGGATAGGACTGAGATCCTGCTCCTCGCTCCTGCCGCCCCAGGGAGGACCAGTCCTGTCTCCTGGGTGTGTTTGAACCCCTAGAACTTTCTATACTAAAAAAGGAATAAACAAATAATAATAATAATGAAAAGCTTATCTTGAAAGGTATTTTTACCAAGCACTGCACAGTTGCCAAGGGTGGAACAGCTGATGTCCCTGAACTGAGGTTTGCAATTGAAGCCCAATTAAGAGGAGAGGACCCACCCTCGGCCAGCTCTTACTCATCCAATTGGCACGTCAGAGGGCAGAGGCCCACTAACTGTTCCCTCTGCAATAGCACTGGAGAAATGCCTCTTGCAGGCAAAAAGGGAGAGGAGGGGAGAAGAGGAAAAGCCATCAGTTTGGGAAAGCTGGGGGCTGCTCATCTCGGCACTTGTGGCCCTGGGCAGCCAGGCATTTCCCATGAGTGCAGCGGACTGCCCAGGGAGGCCACCAGGTCCCATAGGATGGAAGAGCCCTTGGCTGCCAGCCCAGTTGCTCCCAAGTCACTGGAAGGGGTGGGTGCCTGCAGGTTTTCCTGTGACTGCTGCGGATGCAGTTGCACACTGAACAGTCCAATTGCTCTGGAGGCATAG